TTAGAAACAGTGATGAGATAATCATTGACTGGCTGCCTCCTGCACGCCCCCTACTGGGGATCAAGCCCCCAACCCAACCATGTGCCCTTGACCAGAATGGAACCTGGGACCCTTCAGTCCCCAGGCCGATGCTCTATCCACGGAGCCAAACCAGGTAGGGCACTAGATCGCTCTCTTGCATCATGATAGATGCTAGCCAAAACAGTATCTTGTAAGTTATACATGCCTATGTCTTTCCTCCTGAATTTTACTTAGGAGTGAAGGATCAATTAAAATATTAACTGCGCTTTGTAAAAGTTGTGAATAAATCACATATTTGTATACTGAAATACGTTTTTAAAATTGCCATCCAGGTAATAACTGTGGAGAAATATACGCTGTTTAACAGTGATTCGTTTGGAGAGGAACGATATGATTTCCAAAAAAAATTACTCTTAGCTTATTGTACAATATTGCTTATAGTACTACCTTTCAATAATAATAACAAAAATCTAATGAACAAAAAAGTATTATTGAACTAAAGTGATCATTATATAGTATATTATGTAGTTCTGTCAGGGATAAAGGGATTCCTACCAGAACTCATTCTTATTCTCAACAAAATATAAGTTTTAAAAGTAAATATATTTCAGAGGTACTTTAATAACTCTTACAGGTGACCTTAGTGAATAACAATTCTATCTTAAAATCAAGGTTTTATTTCCTAAGGTAATTCGCTATAGTGGAGTATTAGATATTTCTGTGTGACCTCATAAAGATAGCTTTGGCTTAGTAGATTGACCTGCAAGATTTGTCCTGCTGTGATTCAGTCATACCATTTGCCAATGGTGAAGTCAGAGGTGGAAAGAAAGTCTTCTATTTTCACACTCACCTGGAAAATAATGTTTTTTGGCAAAGTTATATTTTGCCTTTCACCATAAAAGACTAGCCTTCTGAGCCTGTCTATTCTATGCTGTATCACCTATACATTTCATGGAGAATGTTGTTCCTTAAGAGGCGGTTAGACTTTCTGAATTTTATTCTAGACTCTACTGTGTATTATCTAGGTGACCTTGGCAAGGGACAGTTTAAGCCTCACTTTCTTTCTCCATGAAATAGAAGTAATAGTATCAACTTCAAGTTTAAGTCACAAAGTTTAAGTTAGAAAAATACATGCAACTCACCTGGGATAATGGCTGGCTCATATTAAGTGGTCAGTTGTTAACTGTTGTTTTACTATGAGCTTTTCTACATAGCTGACTTAAATTTTTTAGTGGAGTGAAAAATTTACTGATTTGTACATTTCTACTAGCACTGCCCACCCCAGGTACTGGTGCCACACTTGGGATGTTAGTAGCCTGTATTTAAGAGCACAGATTATCAATAGATCTTATTCCAACTCCAAATGATTGAGAATGAATGTTGGCTTCCTGGAGTTCTCTGTTGAGAAAAATTTTGAGGTCTAAGCAAAAGAGAGTGACATGTTCCACTTTTATACCTATAAGGAGAGAAGCTCCTTGTAGACATACATTTCTTTGAGAAAAAGTTTTCAGCAATTTAAAAAGATGAGGATTTCTTTGCATTTGACTTTCACAAGTGTAAATTTTATAAATAGATTTATAATGTAGTTACACTAATTCAATAAAGTGCCTAGAAGTTCTCTAGTTTAGGGCTATAAGAAAGTAGTGGAGCCCTAACCGGTTTGGCTCAGTGGATAGAGCGCTGGCCTGCGGACTGAAGGGTCCCAGGTTCGATTCCGGCCAAGGGCACATGCCTGGGTTGCGGGCTCAATCCCCAGTAGTGGACCTGCTGGAGGCAGCCAATCAAAGATTCTCATCATTGATGTTTCTCTCTCTCCCTTCTTCTCCCTTTCTCTCTGAAATCAATAAAGAAACATATTTTTTTTAAAAAAAGCTACATCATTATCCCTGGCCCAGTTGCTCAGTTGGTTAGAGCTTCGTCCCCCATATACCAGGGTTGTGTTTGATCCCCAGTCAGGGCACATACAAGAATCAACCAATGAGTGCATAAATAGGTGGAACAACAAATTGATGTTTCTTTCTCTCTGTTTCTCTTTTCTCTCGCTCCCTTCCTCTCTCTCTCAAATCCATTAAAAAATAAAGGTAAATCATTTTGATGAGTAGCAGTATCCAGACCTCCAAATAAGACTAGGGAATTTTAAAGAAAAGATATAAAATATGGTTTTTACTTTGAAGAAACTTATAACTTAATTATTTCTGCAAAATAAGCAAAAAAGAAAACAGAGATGGCATTTATAGAAGATATAATTGGCCAAAACCGGTTTGGCTTGGTGGATGGAGCGTCGGCTTGCGGACTGAAAGGTCCCAGGATCGATTCCGGTCAAGGGCATGTACCTGGGTTGCAGGCACATCCCCAGTGGGGAGTGTGCAGGAGGCAGCTGGTCGATGTTTCTCTCTCATCGATGTTTCTAGCTCTCTGTCTCTCTCCCTTCCTCTCTGTAAAAAATCAATAAAATATATTTTTTTAAAAAAGAAGAAGATATAATTGATTAGAGCAGTGAACCAGTGCCAAGGTACTTCTTTAAAGTATTCTTGATTTGGAAAGGTTTCATGAGATAAAGATTTCAAAAACCACATTTTAAAGGAAAAGGCAACCTAATGAAATAAAATATGCATCAAGGAAAAGATTGAAAGGAAACTACAGGCAAGGGTTTGTCTTCCAGAATGCCCTGAATTATACCCTATTGGGACTTTGGAATTTTCTTTTTAGTGTTTGTTTCAAGTCTCTTATTTTTTATCACATGAGCTGAGTCTAGCCACTTGTACAATTTTCTATTGCACTCACTATTGCAAGGTGCTCATATATTTATTTTGTCTATTTTCTTTAGGTCAGATGTCCTGTAATCCTTCCTTTGGTGGTATCGGAAAGGGGCATTTAATGAGGGAAGTGGATGCTTTAGATGGCCTGTGTTCCCGAATCTGTGACCAGTCTGGTGTACATTACAAAGTATTAAACCGGCGTAAGGGACCAGCTGTTTGGGGTCTGAGAGCTCAAATTGATAGGAAACTCTACAAACAGAACATGCAGGTAAGAATCAGGCACAAAAACAGGAGAGATTGTAGTGATCATTTAACTGTTGTTTCAACTTGCACTCTATTTTGACAGAAAGAAATCCTAAATACACCACTGCTTACGGTTCAGGAGGGAGCTGTAGAAGATCTTATACTTACAGAACCAGAACCTGAGCACACTGGGAAATGCCGTGTCAGTGGTGTTGTTTTGGGTATGTACTAGTTATAGATAATAATAACAGTATCAGGCTCCGTGTAAGCAGTTTATTTCAGAGCAGAGTATGAGGATGTTTTACTTATTCTAGGAAATTGTTGTGTTTTCATGAATGAGGAAAACTGTATAAAAAGATCATAATTCTTTCATTTTGGCATTTGTGAAGCTTAGTCAAATTATGGGCTCATCTATACCACGTGTAGGACTTTAGCCTGAATAATTGTGTCTTTTTTCTCTTGGTTTTTCTGTTGTACTTTTTATTTTTCCTAGTTCTGACCTTAAATCTTTAAAGCTTATATTTGTAAGATTATTACATGTCTTATATTTAAAAGGGTTATGTATTAATTTTTTAATCAAAATAGCACATGCACCTACCTTTTATAAAAATCAAGTAGAATTTAAAAATGTGGATAGCCCCAAAAATGTGGATAGCCCTAAAAATCAAGTAGAATTTAAAAATTTGGCTCAGTGGATAGAGCGTTGGCCTGTGGACTGAAAGGTCCCGGGTTCGATTCCGGTCAAGGGCATGTGCCTTGGTTGTGGGCACATCCCCAGTAGGATGTGTGCAGGAGGCAACTCATTGATGTTTCTCTCTCATCAATGTTTTTAACTTTCTATCCATCTCCCTTCCTCTCTGTAAAAAATTAATAAAGTATATATATTTTTAAAAGAATGTACTTAGAAAAATGTGTATAGATACATGTTTATTTTCTATATCCCCTCTATAAACCTAATAGTTCAGTTTTTTTAACTGTCACTTCTGATCTATACTTAACATATTTCTCAAAAATAAGCTTATATTTTTACCCCCTAAATTATCAGTCTTAAACATTATCTATTAACTTTTTTATGGTAACTCTATTTTTATATTTTTAAATATATTTTTATTCATTTCAAAAAGGAAGAGAGAGAAGCATCAATGATGAGAGTGAATCATTGATTGGCTGCCTCCTGCATACCCCCTACTGGGGATCAAACCCACAACCCTGGTATGTGTCCTTGACCAGATTCGAACCTGGGAACCTTCAGTCCTCAGGCCGACACTCTATCCACTGAGCCAAATTGGCTAGGGATATGGTTCCAATATTGTCCTATTCCTATCAGAACTAGGTGGCTCTCATTGATAATATTCACATTGATTTCCATATTGTGCAGCCAGACCATATTATCAATATTTAACCAATTTACACATTTGCTGGCTATCTTCCTTATCAATATACTAATTATACAGTATACCTAATCCACATTTTCCATCTAGATTAAATACCCGTAGGTCAGGAACTAGGTCTTTCTAATTCTACCTGCACAAGGCCCACCAATTTCAGTCGGTGTATGCTTAATTTCTAGTTGGTTCTTTATCACAACATCGAGGGTCTCATTAGATTTCTCGAGGATCTCATTAAGTTTATCGGCGGCTTCTAGACAGTTCTTGAGAGACCTTAAAAGTGTGGTTCTGAACTCAATATCCTCCATTGACAGTTTTGTCCTGTTTCTTTGTCTCCGCATGTTTTATGCTTTCTTGGTGCACCCCCTAGTGGTCTTTGTGCGCAGTCTTGTAGTTAAGCCTTGATTGTTGTAGTTAATACTAGGGGGATTTGACCTCCAGGCCATCTGGCTGTCTGGTAGCTCTCTTTAATCTCCTGCTTTCCTTCCTTCTAGCCTTCCAATATAATTATACCATAAATTTTGGTTGATAATATTTATGTTATTATGATTATTTGAATATTGTTCACTACAGATTCAAGTAGTGTATTATGTTATATACCTCTTTTTTTTGCCTTGGGTTAATAATTGCTTTATTTTTTATTTACTTATTTTACCTGTGTACCTGACCTGTTCAACTTTTTCATCAGAAAAAAACTCATGCCGTGACTGGTTTGGCTCAGTGGATAGAGCGTCAGCCTGCGGACTGAGGGGTCCCAGGCTCGATTCCAGTCAAGGGGCATATACCTTGGTTGGCGGCACATCCCCAGTAGGGGGTGTGCAGGAGGCAGCTGATCGATGTTTCTCTCTCATTGATGTTTCTAACTCTATCCCTTTCCCTTTCTCTCTGTAAAAAGTTAATAAAATATATTTTTTAAAAAAACCACTCAGTGCTCAAATAATTTATCAATTCTGTTGTTTTCTGTAATGCTTCCCTTCCAAAAATATCAACTTCCGAATCCCCCACAATTTACTGCTATAATCAGGACAATTGCTCTCTAGGCCTCTGCACAGATGTCATTTTTGTTGTTGTTAATCCTCACCCAAGGATGTTTTTTCCATTGATTTTTAGAGTGGAGTGGGCAGGGACCCAGGCACATGCCCCTAACTGGGAATCAAACCCGAGACCCTTCCGTGCAGGGCCAATGCCCTAGCTGCTGAGCCACATCAGCCAGGACCACAGATGTGCTTTTTTTCTTTTTAATGTATTTTTATTGATTTCAGAAAAGAGAGAGGGAGGGAGATAGAAACATCAATGATGAGAGAGAATCATTGATCAGCTGCTGTCTGCACACCCACTACTGGGGATCAAGCCCACAACTCCAGCATGTACCCTTGACCAGAATCGAATCCAGGACCCTTCAGTCCGCAGGGCAATGCTCTATCCTAACTGGCTAGGGCCACAGATGTCCTTTTGAAACTTCCTTTTACTACTCTGCTGTGTTACATCATCCTTATTTACTGGAACTTCAGTCTGTCTCCTTTTTACTTCCCCATTTTGCTGGATTATATCTTCCAGTAGCTTCCTAAGAAAAGATGCATGGGAAATAGATTGTGTGAGTCCTTGTATATCTATAAATGTATTATTCTCCCCTTAGACTTGACTCTTAATTTGGCCGAGAATAGAATTCTAGTTTAAATCTTTTTTTGACAGTCTTGCTCCATTTTCTAGCTTCAGTTTTGCTGTGAAGATCAGTGCATATTTACTTAAATATTTTTGTATATAGACTCCTCCCCCCCCCCCTTCAAAAAGCTAGGATTTTGTATGTGTCTCTGGTGTTCTGAAATTTTAAAATGATGTCCTCAGTGTGGTCTTGGTTCATTCATTATGTACTAGGTGTTCTCCTGAAACTAGAAATCTGTGTCCTTGATATCTGAGGTATTTTCTTCTATTATTTCTCCATGCTCTCTTCTTGTAACTCCTATCCTTTCCTGGATTGGTCTTCTAGGTTTTTTTCTATTTGTACATTTTGTCGTACTTTCTTAGGAGATTTCCTTAACTTTATTTTCCAAATCTTTGTAATTAATTTTTTAAATTTATGTTTTCATTTATGTACACCAAAGGTTGCTAGTTCGAGTCCCAGTCAGGGCACATGCCTTGGTTGCAGGTCCCAGGGAGCATACAGGAGGCAACCAATTGATGTTTTGCTCTCACATTGATGTATCTCTCTCTCTCTCGCTCTCTCTCTCTCTTTCTCTCCCTCCCTCCCTCCTTCCCTCCCTCCTTTTTTTCCCTCTCCCTCTCCCTTCCCCTCTCTCTAAAAATCAGTTTTAAAAAATGATGTGCTCTGGCCAGTTTGGCTCAGTGGATAGAGTGTCAGCCTGCCGACTGAAGGGTCTCAGGTTCGATTCTGGTCAAGGGCACATGCCTGGGTTGCGGGCTCGATCCCTAGTTGAGGGTGTGCAGGAGGCAGGTGATCATTGATTCTCTCTCATCATTGATGTTTCTATCTCTCCCTCTCCCTTCTCTGAAATCAATAAAGATATATTTTTTAAAATGATGAGAGGAGCTGTGCTGGAGAATCTCAACATTTACAATACAGATCTTGAGACTGGCTGGTGTGGCTCAGTTGTTGAGTATTAGACTATGAACCAGGAGGTCACAGTGCCAATACCTGGTCAGGGCACATGCCCGGTTTCGGGCTCAGTCCCTAGTAGGGGGCATGCAGGAGGCATTGATCAGTGATTCTCTCTCATCATTGATGTTTCTCTCTCTCTCTCCCTCTCCCTTCCTCTCTGAAATCCATAAAAATATATTTAAAATACAAATCTTCACTTAATTTCCCTAGTATAAAATTATAGATTTATTAATTTTTTAAAATGGGGAATATATATATATAGAAAACAGTTTAAAGGGGACATAAGAACATAATGTGAAAAGGTGGTCTCTCTCTCATCTGTCCCCCAGCCAATCAGTTTTCTTCTTTAGGAGCATTCCTAGTGTCTTGGGTTGTCTTTCTACCTGTGAATATACATGTATCTTCGTGTGTGTGTGTGTGTGTGTGTTTCACATAACAGCATATTATATACACTGTTCTGTACTTTCTTTTAAACACTTAGTCTGTGTTTGCTTTGTATCTAGGAACTATGTTTCTTTTTTAGAAGCTTGTATTTTTGTTCTGGTGATTATTTAATTATGATTTTTATATACTAAATCTTTTTCTTCTGTCAGTGTTTGTTGACTTTCCACTATGAATAGTTAATTTTATTTTCCTTTTCTCTCTTCTGCCTCCTATCCTCTTCAAATTTAATGATTATATTGTTTTTATTAGTATAGACCTTATACCTTTATTTATGTTTTTATTACTTAATTTCATATCTTTAAATGCTATGTTTTACCCTGTCTACTTTATAGGCTTAATAATATAACTTGTTTTGTAATCTGTAACACAGATTTCTACTTTTAGGAGAACACCTAGTACATAATGAATGAACCAAGACCACACTGAGGACATCATTTTAAAATTTCAGAACACCAGAGACACATATAAGATCCTAGAAGCTTTCAGAAATGGGGGAGAAAGTCATATACAAAAAAAATTAAATAAATATGCACTGATCTTCACAGCAAAACTGGAAGCTAGAAAATGGAGCAAGACTGTCAAAATTCTCAGGGAAAAAAAGATTTAAACTAGAATTCTATTCTCGGCCAAATTAAGAGTCACGTCTAAGGGGAGAATAATACATTTATAGATATACAAGGACTCACACAATCTATTTCCCATGCATCTTTTCTTAAGAAGCTACTGGAAGATATAGTCCAGCAAAATGGGGAAGTAACCATAACATAAACTTTGGCTTTTAAAAAAATATGTTTTTATTGATTTTTAGAAAGAGAGGAAGGGAATGGGATAGAGAGATAGAAACATCGATGAGAGAGGAACATCATTGATTGTCTGCCTCTTGCACATCCCCCTCCTGGGGATCAAGCCTGCAACCTATTGTTGGTTCCTGGGTTGACAATCAACCACTGAGCTACACTGGCCGGACCTGCCTTTTTACAAAAAATCCTCACCTAAGGACATGCTTAAAGAGAGGGAAGTAGGGGTGGGGAGGTGGAGAAAGACATCAATATGAGAGAGAAATATTAATCGGTTGCCTCCCATATGTGCCCCAACCAGGGATTGAACCCACAACCTAGGTGTATGTGCCCTGTCCGGGAATTGAACCAGGAACTTTTTGATGCACAGGACAATGCTCAACCAATTGATTCACTCCAGCTGGGCATTTTAGCCATTTTTATTTTATTTTATTTTTTAATATATTTTATTGATTTTTTACAGAGCGAAAGGGAGAGGGATAGAGTTAGAAACATCAACGAGAGAGAAACATTGATCAGCTGCCTCCTGCACACTCCCTACTGGGGATGTGCCGGCAACCAAGGTACATGCCCTTGACCGGAATCAAACCTGAGACCCTTGAGTCCACAGGCTGACGCTCTATCCACTGAGCCAAACCGGCAAGGGACATTTTAGCCATTTTTAAGTGTACAATTCAGTGCCGTTAAGTCCATCCACTGTATTGTACAACTGTCACCACTATCCATTTCCCGAACTTTCTGAACTTTCTCATCATCCTAAATTGAAACTGTTTCCATTAAACAGTAACTCCCCATTACCCAAAAAATAAACCTAAATTTTCCTGTAAGGAATTGTCTGCAGATATAACCTTTATGTGTAGATTTCAACTATTTCTCTTAATTTCAGCCCCAAGCTTCATTCCTACATTCCTCAGTTTCCCATTTCTGGGCTTTGTAGGGCTGATTAGTTCATCCCCATTGGTGTATTCTCTTCAGATTCTTGATTTATAGTCTTCTCCCATTTGCTAGATCATTAATCACTTTTCCAACCACTTTATCTTCTAAAAATATTTTTAAATGTCTCATCTTTTGGCAAGCTCTCTCCCATTCATTGTCCTTGTGGTTTTATACCCCCTTTGCCCCTTTATTTCATTTTCTTGAAGTTTCAGGAGGAAGGAATTATATGAGGTAGTCTATCAGATTTACTGGCAACCAGAAGTCTTACATTAATTAATTTTTAAAATCAATTGATTTAATCTTTTTCTGTGCTGGTATAATTTTAGGAACATATGAATAGATGATAGTACATTATGTTCTCCCTCCCAACTTTCTTGGATTCTAGAGATTGATAACATGTATCCTTCTTACTCATTTGAAATTATTTCTCAGGTTTCTAAAGAGAAAGTTTTTCTGTACTAATGTAAAGTAGTCAGATTTCAATTTGATCCATAGTACAATTAGAACATGATTTTTACTGTCTTTCCTGTCCTTTAGTGGATGGAAGCAAAGTATATGCAGACAGCGTGGTTCTGACTGCTGGGACATTTCTGAGAGGCATGATTGTAATTGGATTGGAGATGCATCCGGCAGGACGCTTAGGAGACCAGCCTTCCATTGGGTTGGCTCAGACTCTAGAGAAGTTGGGGTTTGTGGTGGGAAGATTGAAGACTGGGACTCCACCCCGAATTGCCAAAGAGTCCATTAATTTCAGTATTCTAAACAAGCAGACACCAGATAATCCATCCATACCATTCAGCTTTATTAATGAAACAGTGTGGATTAAGGTAAGATAATTATGAAAATCTGGCTTTACAGCTAAATATTGGCCATTCACAGAAGGATACAGTAGGTCCTCGGGTTATGTCGGAGATCCATTCCTATGGTTTCTGTGGTTCCTATGGTGCAACGTAAAGCGATTTTCGCTGTAAGTCGGAACCCACCTACATAAGCACCTACGGCACTCACATGGAGCACATACACAGCAGTAATGAAGTGAAACAGTAAAAAAAAAATTAAAAGAAATAACAATTCCTGACCTTTACTTGTGGTAAATAAATAATAAAAAACATAAAGCACATATGTACATACATGGGAATGATGGAACTTTTTTTTTTTGTTAATAAATGGGAGATGGCGATGTAACCACAAAACGACACGACGTATGTGGAGTCCGACGTAGCCCGATGTCTGTCTGTATAGCCTAACATACCTTCCTGCCTCCCTCCCTCTCTCTCTCTCTCTCTTTCTTTTGTGATCTCTCTTTCTTTGAGTAGCAATGCACTTTACATCACTATTACTTAGTGCATAAAAAAAAGATCTTTAAAAGGATTAATTTGGCTGATTGGGTCATTTCTCCGTATGTTCTTAAGTTTCATTACTTCAATAACGTTGCCTATTTAAACGTTTTGAAACAATCTCAGACCTACAGAAAAGTTGCAAGGCAACTAAAACAATCTCCTATAAACAATTGAAATTCACCCATTGTTAATAATTTACCATATTTCTCTCTCTAGATACATATCTATATGTGTGTATGTGTGTGTGTATATATATATATGTATATGTGTGTGTGTGTGTCCAGATTATTATGGACACCTGACGTTTGTAGGCAAATTAGCTATAATTTCGTGCTGAAGTTGCTAGAGGGCCAGACCATTATAAATAGGGAAGCCGGTTGTTTACCACGACATTAGAAGTGATTTTTTTTCTGAAGATATGGGTAAACAATACGATTTAACAGCCTTTGAATGTGGGGTATATATATTATGATGAGTGGCCAGATTATGACCACCCCATTAGTACTTTGTTAGGCTACCTTTTGCCTTCAATACTGCGGCGATTCTTCTTGGCATTGACTCCACGAGATGTTGCAAGGTGATGCGAGGAATCTGACACCATGCCTAATGAATAGCACTGTTCACTTCTGTGAGATTTGATGCAGTGGTCATCAAACTAACATGATTTATTGGACCACATGACTTTTTTCCAATGCTCAACTGTCCGATCCTTGTGTTCCTGTGCGAATTGGAGACGTTTTATCTTGGTAACTGCAGACAGCAAAGGTGTTTGAACAGGCCTTCAGCTTCCATATCCCAGACGATGCAGTGTACGGCTAATTTGCCTACAAACGTCAGGTGGTCATAATAATCTGGCCACTCTGTGTGTGTGTGTGTCATCCTGACTCTTCTTTTTTGTTTGATACATTTGCGAGCAAATTCCAAAGATCATGATCCTTCACCCCTAAATACTGTATCTCAACTAAACACAAAAACATTCTCTTATAGAACTTCAATTCAGTGATGAAATTTGGGGAATTTAACATTGATTCAATAGTGTTATCCTATATAATAAAAGGGTAATATGCAAATTTTCCCCTCAGCCTGGAGTTCGGCCAGGAGTTCAACTGGGAGTTCGACCAGAGGGCAGGGCCAGCCGGCCACCTGCCTGTGGCCCCTCTCCCTGGCTGGCCAGCCTGATCGTCCTGGTCAGACCCCACCTGTGCATGAATTATAATATAATGTCCATAGTCAGATTTTACTGATCATCCCAATATTGTCCTATAATATAGCAACCATTTTTTTTTCCAATCTAGGATCATATATTTAGACATCATTTCTCTCTCTTTTTTTTTAATATATTTCTTTTATGATTTCAGAGAGGAAGGGAGTGGAAGAGAGAGATAGCAACATCAATGATGAGAGAGAATCATTGATTGGCTCCCTCTTGTATGCCCCCCACTGGGGATCAAGCCCACAACCTGGGCATGTGCTTTGGCCAGAATTGAACCTGGGACCCTTCAGTCCGCAGGCTGACACTCTATCCACTGAGCCAAACTGGCTAGGGCCATCATTTCTCTTTCATCTGAAATAATTCTTCAGTTTTTCACAATAGTGACAGGTTACTTTTGCCTTGTCTTTTGAATTTAAAAAAAAATAGTATGTTGTGTTTTTAGAATTGAGGACTAATAATTGATGGTCCTAGTTTCTTGTGTTATCCTAATGAGTGGCTTCAAATATTGTTGTGTGTTTTTTTTGAAAACTCATTTTTATATTTTTGCTTTGGGAAAATATAAATTGTGATACTTTCTTGGTATGTGTATTTTAAAACTTGTATTATAAAATTTAAGTTTATAGAGAATAGAAGAAATAGTATAATGAATCTTTGTGTCCATCACCCAGCTTCCACAAATAACTTTTTTTGGCATTCTTGTTTTATCTTCCCTTAACACTTTCTTCTTGCTGATTTTAAGCAACAGTCTCAAATATCTCATCATTTCACTTATAAATACTCAGTTATATGTCTTTAACAGATAAAAATGTTATAAAAATTAACCATGATATCATTATCACATCCAGCAAAACATCATTTCTTAACATCACCCACTATTATGTGTGCAGTCTATTTGAATAAGAAGCAAACTAGTAGAGAGGCAAAAGTGCTATAACTAATTCATGTGTTTTAGCCAGAAGATCAGCTGCTGTGTTACTTGACTCACACCAACCCTAGAGTGGATGAGATTATCCTTGAGAACCTGCACCTTAATAGTCACATTAAGGAAACTACAAAAGGACCCCGGTAAGGAAAAAGTGCCACTGCTCAATTACTTTAAGAAATGATGCCAGCCTCTTTCGTTTGTTTCATTAAATTTTTTTTATTTCAATGCCCTGTTCTAGATACTGTCCTTCCATTGAATCAAAGGTTCTGCGTTTTCCAAACCGTACACATCAGGTTTGGTTGGAACCTGAAGGAATAGATTCTGACCTCATCTACCCCCAAGGGTTATCTGTGACGCTACCAGCTGAATTACAGGAGAAAATGATCACATGCATCAGAGGGTTGGAGAAAGCTAAAATGATCCAGCCAGGTAAAGAGAATCACCGCGCCCTTCAGTAGGAGCTCAGCATCGCCTTAGCTTAGCAGATAGTGAGGAGATGGTAACTGCAGTCCAGGCTGCTTAGAGCCTCAGAAGGCTAAGCCCAACAACTTGACATTTAAAATAGTCTTCATTTTTTTCTTTTATTGTTTAAAGTATTACAAATAGTAATACTTTATGTCTCCTTTTCCCCCCATTGACCCCCCTGGCCTCTTCTACCCTCTGGCACTTGCCCTCCTTCATCCCCCGCCCTCAGTGTCTGTGTCCATTTTTGAAGAGCATTTAATGATAATCTTTGCATCTCTACCTTGAGACAAATCCAACTGTTTTTACTTACTTTGTACCATTTATTCTTTGGTCAGGCTATGGTGTTCAGTATGATTACTTAGACCCCCGTCAGATCACTCCTTCTCTCGAGACTCATTTGGTGCAACGGCTTTTCTTCGCTGGACAGATAAATGGCACTACTGGTTATGAGGAAGCTGCAGCTCAAGTAAGAGTTTGTTCAAATGTTAATGTCAACAGAAAGGGACTATTTAACCAGTGTTCCTCCTTTTAATGTCTGTTACGATAATCATATAGATCTTAGATACAACACATAACTAATAGAAGACATTTCTGTTTCAGGTTATGTGGAGATGGTTACTGTATAAAATAGAATCTTACAAAAACACTTGCAGCTTTATTACTCTTTTAAAATAACTACTGAAAATGATCATATATTATTCTTATTAAGTGGGAATTTATATTCCTTTTACTTAAAAGCGAGAAACGGCTAGAAAAGTTTTTAGGCATGTATTGAATGAATCATAGCGTTGTAAAGTGGTACATTACCCATAATCTGTTTCTGAATAAGGTTTAGATTTTCTACCTCGAGTCTATCCATTCTGGGCAGTGCTTGCTTTCTTACTGCCCCAGGCTATTTTTTTCTAGGTAGTGTTCTGAACAGGGCAGCTCTTTATTCAATTCATAATGGCCTTTTAAACATTTCAGTCCTCTTGTAGGGTGTGATAGCTGGAATCAATGCAAGTCTTCGGGTCAGACGCAAGCCTCCTTTTGTCGTTAGCCGAACGGAAGGCTACATAGGAGTCCTGATTGATGACCTCACCACACAGGGCACTAACGAACCATACCGAATGTTTACCAGCCGAGCAGAGTTCCGTTTGTCACTGCGCCCCGATAATGCTGACAGCCGCCTCACATTCCGAGGTAACTCTTCACTGAGTCTGCCAACCAGGTTTACTCTTCTCTCAGACCTCTCTCATTATGTTCTCTCCTCCCTTCTTCTAGGGTATAAGGAAGCTGGCTGTGTGTCCCAACAAAGATATGCAAGAGCTTCTTGGATCAAGTCTTCTTTAGAAGAAGGCATTTCTGTGTTGAAATCCATTGAGTTTTCAAGTTCTAAATGGAAAAAGTTAATCCCAGAGGCTTCTATAAGTATGGGTAAAGTTGTATCTCTCAGGTATGCACTTTTAATATCAATTACAGAACTTACAAATTACAGGATTTACAGAAAAATGAGATCATTTCAGAGAAATATTAAAAACTCCCTACTCATTTTTTTAAAATTTATCTTTATTGTTGAAAGTATTACAGATATCCCCTTTTTGTCCCCTCCCTCTTGCCCCCTCCCAAGGCCTTCACCATGGGTTATGTATATATGCATATATGTTCTTTGGTTCATCTCTTCCTCCCCGCTCCCATTTCCCTCTGAGAATTATCAGTCTGTTGCCCGCTTCCATGTCACTGGATGTATTTGTTTGTCAGTTTATTTTGTTCATTAGATTCTACTTACAAGTGAGATTATGTAATATTTGTCTTTCTCTGACTGACATATTTCACTTAGCATAATAGTCTCTGGGACCCTCCATGTTGTCTCAAAGGGTAAGAGATCCTTCTTTACAGCTGTGTAGTATTCCATTGTGTAAATGTACCACAGCTTTTTTATCCGTTCACCTACTGAGGGGCTCTTGGCTGTTTTCCAGATCTTAGCTATTGTAAATAATGCTTCCATGAACATTGGGATGTATATATTCTTTCTGAATGGTGTTTTGGGATTCTTAGGATATATTCCCAGAAGTGGGATCACTGGATTAAATGGCAGATCCATTTTTAGTTTTTTGAGGAACCTCTATACTGATTTCCACAGTGGCTTACCAGTCTGCATTTCCACCCGCAGTGTATTAGGGTTCCCATTTCTCCACATCCTCACCAGCACTTGTTGTTTGTTGATTTATTGATAGTAGCCATTCTGGCAGGTATGAGGTGATAGCTCATTGTCACTTTAATTTGCCTCTCCCTGATGATTAGTGACTTTGTATGTTTTCTTCTAGGATTTTTATGGTTTCATGTCTTACATTTATGTCTTTTATCCATTTTGAGTTTATTCTTATGTATGGTGTAAGTTGGTTGTCTAGTTTTTTTTTTTTTTTATGTACCTGTCCAATTTACCCAGCACCATTTATTAAAGAGACTATATTTAATCCATTGTATGCTTTTACCTTCTTTGTCAGATATTAATTGGCCATATTTTCGTGGGTCAATTTCTAGGATCTCTAGTCTGTTCCATTTGTCTATATACCTGTTCGTGTGCCAGCACCAGGCTCTTTTGATTATAGAGGCTTTGTAGTATAGTTTGATATCTGGTATTGTGATCCCTCCAACTTTGTTCTTTCTCAAGATTGCTGTAGCTATTCGGGGTCTTTTTTGGTTCCATATAAGCTTTTGGAATATTTGTTCTAGAGCTGTGAAATATGCTATTGATATTTTAATAGGGATTGCATTGAATCTGTAGATTGCTCTAGGTCAGTGGTTCTCAACTTTCCTAATGGCGCAACCCTTTAATACAGTTCCTCATGTTGTGGTGACCCCCAATTTCATTGTTACAAATTGAACGTAATTAAAGCATAGTGATTAATCACAAAAACAATATGTAATTATATATGTGTTTTCCGATGGTCTTAGGCGACCCCTGTGAAAGGGTCGTTCGACCCCCCAAAGGGGTCATGACCCACAGGTTGGGAACCGCTGCTCTAGGTATTGTGGACATTTTAATGATGTTAATTCTTCCAATCTATGAACACAGTATATGATTCCACTTTTTTGGGTCTTCCTCTATTTCCTTTTTCATTGTTCTAAATTTTTCTGCGTATAGGTCTTTTACCTCCTTGGTCAAGTTTATTCCCAAGTATGCTATCTTTTTGTTGTTGCAATGGTAAATGGGATTGTTTGTTTTTTTTAGTTTCTTTTTCTGAGGGTTCATTATTGGTGTATAAATATGCTATCAATTTCCGGGTGTTAATTTTGTATCCTGCTACTTTGCCAAATTGGTTTATTAAATCTGGTAGTTTTTTTGTGAAGTCTTCAAGGTTTTTTATGTGTGATATCATGTCATCTGTGAATAATGACAGTTTTACTTTCTCCTTTCTAATTTGGATGCCTTTTACTTCTCTTGTCTGATCACTGTGGCAAGGACTTCTAGTTCTGTGTTGAATAAGAGTGATGGAAGCAGACATCCTTGTCTTGTTCTTCATCTTAAGGGAAATGCTTTTAGTTTTTGCCCGTTAAGTATGATGTTGGCTGTTAAACAGATGTTTAATTATAGTAACAATAATTATTAAAGAACCTGCATATGCCCTAACTGGTTTGACTCAGTGTCTAGAGCAGAGGTGGCCAAACTTTTTGACTCAAGGGCCACAATGGGTTCTTAAACTGGACTGGAGGGTCGGAACAAAAACATGGGTGGAGTGTTTGTGTGAACTAGTATAAATTCAAAGTAAACATCATTATATAAAAGGGTACGGTCTTTTTTTTTTTTTTTAGTTTTATTCATTTCAAACGGGCCGGATCCGGCC